GGGGAGGCCCACTGGAGTCGCAGGGTTGCGTTGACTTGGCTTTGGTTTCCTTCGTCACGTGACCAGGGTGGCGCCCTCCCTCTGCAAAGACTTGCTGACAGCTTTGTGGGTCAGGTGGGCTGGCCTTCCGGGGGCCCTGGTGGGAAGGAGGACGGGTGAACTTTGCTCTTTGCCTGCTCTATAATTAAGTTTTGTCATAATTAGGCCATGAGAAAAGAGCCAACACTGTGCTGTTAGCCGCCGTGCCTGAGCGGCCCTGTGCACACGCCGGCCTTGCTGTGGTGGTTGCGTGGTTTCCAGCGTGCTGCGTTTGATGTAATACCTTAAATCACATCAAAACCGACACTGACGGTGTGAAAAGATGAGATTTGGAGAGTCATATATTTTTAACTTTCTGTTTAAAGAAGAAAGTGTCGTTGTCCTTGGTCCAATTATTTTTCTAATAATTTTTATTTCAGCTTTAAAGAGGGTCCTCTAGCCAAACGGGCCACGTAATCCAGTGATGTTAACTTGTCCTAGCAGGACACCCAAAGGCAAAAGCGGCGCACCTGTTCTCCAGGTTTGTGCAGGAGCGCCTTCGCTCTGGCTGAGGCGCCAGGGCCTCGGCGTGGCAGTGTGCCTTGGACTCCATCTGTCCTCTAAATCTGTCCTAACTTACCCCATTTTGGGGGTGAGAACAGTAGGTTTACTGTGGTTCGTTTTTAATGCCTACATTTTGGCAACAAGAGAAGGAAAAGCAAAAACAATTTTTTAGAATTCTTACTCCGTGTACTCACCAGAGTGTCACATGAGCAGAATGTATTTAGATGACCGATTTTTCTATTTGATGCATGTTATTTTCCTAAATGAAATCGCCAGAGGGACTTGGCAGTTTCCCAAAAAAGGAAATAATTTAAATATTTAAATTAATGCTGGTGATCTCACAGTATTTTGTAAGATGCCCATCTCCCCCTGTGCCCCATAGGACTGATCGGTTTTGTACAATTTGTACCACACTTTACAAATGTACTGTCCTTTCTAACTTCTACTGTACCGTGAGCACAGAGTACAAAAAAGGTGGGGGCAGTCCCAGTGTTGGAGAGAAGATGAAATCGAATCCGTCGTTTGACTTGCGTGTGTGTGTGTTCTCTGAATTTTCCTGACTCTGACAAGGGCTGTCTGTCCACAATCAACTCATGTTCATGTCTGCAGGGTTCGTCAGCATGTGTCAAAGCCAAGTCCAGTAATAAATCCATAGTTGCCCTCAGATCTCTGTTTGATTCTGACCGTCGGGATGCGCATAACCTGCCTCTCTGGGAACTGCTATGAAGCAGCAGGTGAGGGTGTCGGGTCGGTGGTTAGTGTTTGAGAGCCGGAGTCTGGGGCACCTGCCCTGTTGTGCGGCCACTGCCAGAGCCGGTGACGGGGCTGCTGGGCACATCTTCCTCTGCGGCTGCTCACGGATGCTCCCGCTTCTCCATGTCTTTGAGGATGGGCGGGGACCCCGGGCTCCACCTGAGAGAAGTGTTCCCCACTGGCGACCCCCTCCTGCTGGTGATGTCACAGTATTTTGTAAGATGACCATCTCCCCCTGTGCCCCATCAGACTGATCGGTTTTATACAGTTTGTACCACACTTTACAAATGTACTGTCCTTTCTAACTTTTACTGCACCGTGAGCACAGAGTATTAAAAAGGTGGGGGCAAATGGACCCCCTCCTGTTACCCAGCCTGGCCTGCCCGGCCGGCGGTGGGGCAGGCAGAACACAGCCTTTGTGCCCTTCGCTTTGATGTTCCCTGAGCAAACCCCGATGTGCTTTGGATCCCACACAGGGTCACTTAACTCATAAAGTAATACCTAGAATCCAGGAAGGCGCCCCCTGCACGTGTCCTGCCCTCACCCCAGTCCCAGCTGCAGGACCCTGAGGCTTTGGTCACATGACACTGCCTTTGCTCACCCCTCCCTGCAGCGAGGGGCATGCTTCCAGGTCAGTCTCTTGCTGTTCTAGGCAGAGCTCAGGTGTCAGCTGAGGTGTCCAGTCTGCAGCTCCCTGAGGTGCATGCAGATTCCCAGCAGGGTCTGTTCTCAGGGACACCCAGGCCCCGCTGTTCGCCTTTGCCCGGTTCTTGTTCTCCATTCCTTCCCCCGATGTGGGGCATGAGGCCTCGTCCTGCTCCCCTGCCCCAAGACACTGCAGGCATCGGGAGCAGAACTGTTCTGAAGGTTTAGGGTTAGGGGCGGGGCTAGGTCACCCCCAACAACCTGAAGTCACGCTGGAAACACGTCATTTTTCAGAGTGGGGTTTCTGGGGATGTCACACCATTTCCATGCCTCTGGCTCTGAGCCTGGGGTGGACCGGTGCCCATGCTCCCACCCACGGTCTCGTGGATACAGTTCAGCTCCACCCAGCAGCCCCTCCCCGCGTGCTCAGCAAGGGGGGCCCCCCCTTCCTACACTGCAGACAACAGCCTCGCCTGTGGCTGGAGCCACCCTCCTTAGAAGGCACCACAGAACACTGACAATGTATCCTCTCCATCACTCAGTCTGCAAGTGCTGAGCGCCTGCCGTGTGCGGGCCCTGTTCTGTGCTCCCTGCCGCGGCCGCAACAGTGCAGACAAAAGCAGTACCCCGATGAAGCTGGCCCACTGGGGACAGCAGGTGACCCTGCAAGCTATGTCAGCTGGGGACAAGAGCCCCAAATGGGAGAAAACAAAGTGGGGAGAAGGCCAGGAGTGCATCAGGGCCAAGTACTGTCTTGTGAGTGATAAGCCCCCACCCGCAGGTCTGGCCAGTTTTGTAAGATCGGTGTCAGACTTCACAAACGTATTGCCCTTCTCAGTTTCTAATGAACTTAAAGCACAAAGAAACATAAAGACAATCCTTCGTTCAAATAAAGCAGAAACATAAAGACAATCTGGAAGCAGTTGCTAGTTTTATAAAGTGTTGGGAAGAATATTAAATTGAAACTTAATTTTTATGTTTTGTCTTTTTTACCTGACTGCGGAGCAAGGACTATTTACAAGAAGGTAACATTTGAACAGAGATCAAAAGACTGAAAAATGAGCCATGGACATATATAGAGCAAGTATCGAAAGCAGAAGACACAGCACGTACAAAGGCCCTGGGGCAGGGGCGTGTGCAGTGAGTTCAAAGAGCAGCGAGGAGAGGTGGGGCCTGGAGAATGGCCACATGACGGGCTCAGGGAAACCTCTCCCAGGAGAGGCCTGGTGTGCTGCTCAAAACTGGCAGACAGTCATCCAGAGTCCCAAAAGACAGCACAGGGCTCAGCTCAAATTGAGAAGCATTTATTCAGTAACATCTGCAGAAGCCGAGAACAGAGGAGGCCATGTCGGTCAAACGAGGGGCTGCACCCAGAGCCCCGCCTTGCAGAGCCGGCTTCAGTGGGTTGGCACTGGGGCCCCCTCCCCCGGCCTCCCTGGGATGCAAGAGCCTTTCCACATGGCCTTGTAGACCCAGCAGCTGATGAGTAACTTCACCGCTTCCACAGCTGCCCTGGAACACAGAGAGGGCCGGAGGCGGGTGAGGGCTGCCTAGGCGCTGTGAGGGCGCGCCTTCTGAAATGCAGACAGAGGGGGACCCTGCCACTTGGAGCAAAAGCCTGTGTCTCTGCAGCCCCAGGGAGATGTGGGGGCTTCTCCCAGGGGGACCCCCTCCTGCCAGGCTCTGCTTTAAAGAAGCCACTGCATCTAGTCCTCACTGCTTCCTGGAGGGTGAGTTCCAGGATGAGTCCACGGTCACAGACGGGAAAGGAGGCTTGGAGATGTCGGGCTCTGGCCTAGACCTCACAGCTCGCACGTGGCTGATCCCAGCTCCCCCATCTGCGGAGCCCAGGTACCCCCCACCCCAACGCCGCCAGGCCCTGGCCCCGCCATGTAGTTAAGGGTTAGGACCCCCAGACCCCCAGGCTTCAGACACAAACAGTGGGAGATGCGCTGGTGCAGAGACCAGTGTTAGCCTGGGTCCCTGGACGTAGAAGCTTCCTCAGTCAATATTTGCTGAACTGAATCAACCCAGTTGCAAACCTACAAGAGCAAAGGGGTTCCTTCGCTCTGCATCCACCAGGTTCAGGCTGGAGGAATCCTGCCAGGGCCCTCAGCTTCAGCACTCCCCGTGGCCTTGAAGTTTCTGAGCTACGTGTGAGCAGAGCAAACAGCCCCGCCGATTCTGGAGGCACGCCGTGCAGAGCGAGCTGACACCGACCCGGCCAAGGGTTGGCTTAGATTCCTCTCAGCTGAACCCTCTCAGGGAAAATGATGGACGGCATGGTGTTCTATCGCAGACACTCGGGCCTGCCCCAACAGGGCGCCGTCCCCCAGAAGTGCCCCTCCTCCAGCACAAATCATCGTCTGCCTTTGCCTCCAAGCTGCGGATCTACTTGGGACCTCGGGGGTCCGTAAACTCTGGAATTAGCGCACGGGCAGCAGACACGTATGTGGCTGGATTGCCTAAGAAGTCGCCAAAACTCTGGGATAAACTGTTATTTCACCAACCCTCCCCCAACTAAATCTCACTTTTCTATAAATGAAACTTAAGCCAAGTCCAAGTTTTGTTTAAAAGCACAGCACGAACGCAGGACTGCGGCGGGGCTGGCGCTGCTTCCTGAGCCTGCAGCGCCTCCCGGAACCAAGTCTGACGCCGGCCTGAGCGTCCTGCGGTGATGCCGCTGGGGGACTGGGAGCTGGGGACGCCCAGCCCCCCACCCCGTGCCACCTGCCCACGTGGCGCAGCTGCGGGCGGACCTACAGCCCCCACCCCGCGAACGCTCAGTAAGGAAGGAGCCCGCAGAGGCTGGCGAAGGCGGAGGCCAGCCCATGCCT